CACTGATGACTTACTGTTTACCATTCTCAGCTTTCGAAGAAAAAGCACATAGATTGGTCATCGTACTACAGTCCTCCTTCCTATTCAGGTCGAGACTGTGCGAACAAATGCGAATGCGACTACAACGTGACGTCGGAGTGTGAGCCAACAAGCGGTAGATGCGTTTGTTTGCCAGGTCGAACGGGAGCAAAGTGGGTTTTTTCCTATTCGCAAGCTGGTCATCACATGAGGGGCGAGAGTTTGAAAAACTACTTCCCGTTTCAGTGTTATGTCGAATACCATTTGACCAGTTATGAATTCGTTAGGCAGAATATTTAGAAAGAAATGAGTATTCTTGGGAAAAATGACAAGTAAAGGACAAAAGAGAGTAGGGGTATATTGAAGGGAAGGCAGTACTCAGTATTGGATGGCCGCAAAGATGCTAGGGTCATTCTTTTGTTATAGGGAATACATGAAATTATTCCATCCCCACCATTTTCTTGCTCATTGTCTCTCAAGACGCCATACTTCCCTTCTTAGGAGTTTGTGGTGGAGCATCATTTACTACCCCTTTCTTGCCGACAGAGTCGAACTCCCTCATTCTTATTCGACAGAATTTCGCTGTCCCAGTAAGACATTTCATAAGAAGGCTGATAAGCTGGTAGAGCCCCAAGCAATTCTCTTAAGGAGGTCCTTCGTAGCTCTTCAGTGTTGTTTTTGCGCTTACTATTTAAGATGCTCTTCCTCAGGTGCGCCGACGATTGCCCGGATGGTCATTTCGGTTTGGATTGCGCCTTCAAGTGCCAATGTGGGGAGAATGGTATTTGCAACAAAAAGGATGGATCCTGCAAATGCCGTAATGGTATGTGCCACTGATGTTCAGAAAAGAAGACCTCAATACTAATCCTTGTCTAGTTCTTAATGGGAACCAAGGCGGTGGGAGGGCTCGGTTACCTTTGGGCAACTTTTGGTCACACTGTAAACAAAAATGTTTGGCTTGTCCTGTGGCGATTCATCGCAAGCTTGACAAACAGAAAGGATTTTTATTTTGCCTGCTATGTAATGTGATGTTTTCGGCAAATGTAAACCTTGACTCACCCTGATACAGCCTCTTTTATACCTCTATACATATTTTTATAAAAATGATTTCGGGGTGAATTTCAGGCTACCACGGCGCTCTTTGCACGATATCATGTCCAGCAGGTCACTTTGGTGAATCTTGTGCACCCTGTCAGTGTAGGAATGGTGCTGGCTGTGATCCAGTCACTGGCGATTGCTTTTGTGCTGCAGGTAATCTTGCTCATTTACCCTGTCCTTTAGTCTTGTTGAAAAGATCTTTTCCTATTTATCCTCATTTCAACGATTTGTGGCATCGACGGGATTGCCCTTTTCTTCAAAAGGCAAAACATTTAAACAATAATAACGCCTGTCCCAAAATACCCTCACCCCGTCTGCATAGAACTTTGAAGCCAACAAACTATCGCTAAATCCTACGCACCATTTATCGAACGCTAGTTAGGCGATGTCAGCTGAACTGTCACCCATTGATTCTATTATAGAAGAACTGCTGCATCCTCATTGGCTGCTTTCATAGTCCGCGAACGAGTGAGCGAGCGCGCGAGCCAGCCGGGGGACTACTCGTCCGGCGGTATCGACCAAGATTCAGTTGTAAAGAAGGGGCAAGCGCCCTCCCAAGCGTCTCGCTTGCGCGCTCGCGGGCCGAATCGTGGACTATGAAAGCAGCCATTTCGATCTCACAAGAATATCCAGTAATTAGCAATAAGCTCGGTCTCGGATGGGACTCGAGCCCACTCTTTTTCAGAGCGAGCATCGTCTCAATAGAGAGATAAAGAATACGGTGACCAGGAAGCACAATTTCGGGTTCGAGTCCCGTCCGAATACGAGCGTATCCCCCTATGCTACGCTAGAGATAATTCACGCAATTTTCCATATTTGACGCAAATCAGTTAGCTTTTTCTTAGATGCTATTAGTTTTCTTGCTCATATGCGAACATATCTGATTTTGAAAGAGTGAAAAAGATTCGAAAATGGAGCATCATCCACGAGTTTTCGTTTTATCGCCTTGAAAAATAAAAATTCTTTAGGATGGACCGGACCCAAGTGTGATACACCGTGTGCGGCTGGCACCTATGGGCCACATTGCTCCATCGCATGTCGCTGTAAAAATGGTGGAGAATGTGACCGATTCACTGGTGAATGTAAATGTCCTCGTGGATTCAAAGGTTTGTTATGGTGCTATGAGATGACTCATATATTTCAAATGTTTACATTTTTTGTCATCCTTCCTCCTTTCTTCGTTCTGATACTTCTTCCTTTTTCACTTTCCCTTTATAATAGATGGGAATGTACCTTCTACAAAGACTTATTCACACATCCATTCACGATGCTCAAATAACCAAATCATTACTTTCCCAATGGCCATCCAAATAATTTGGGCAGTATTTATCCGCCATGGTTACATTCTGGATGCACCGCACTTCCGGTTTTCATTCACAACTATGAAGGCATTTCCGTAATTGCCCAGGGCCTAAGTATTGGTGTAGATGGTATTGGACTCCCGAAAGGGTTTGATGCCAACGATGAGCTTGGATATGCATGGTCGAATTCGATTCTCTCGCAGATGCTTGCGGTCCGATGCCCTCGCTCAGTGCTCAGTGCGTGGAAGATCTTTTGGGATTAGAAATGTGAGAGCATTTTTTTAGGAGAGGACTGTTCCACACAGTGCGATAACGGCTTCTATGGTGATGACTGTCATCTGAAATGTGACTGTAATGGTGGAAGCTGTCAGCAGAAGACTGGAAAATGTGTCTGTGGCACTGGAAAAGAAGGCGATACTTGTTCCGCAGGTAATGTGCCCTCCTTGAAAAGAAGATTTAAAGAAAATCTTCCAGAAATACTATTCGTGATACTTACAGAGTGCAATCCAGGACATTTCGGGTTTGGTTGCAGTGAGACGTGTAGTAACTGCACCCAAGATGGGGTCCCCACGGCATGCGACGCGAAGACTGGAGCATGTTTAAAGTGTCCTGTGGGAAGGTGAGCGAAACATTGTTACGGTATGATTATGAGGCAAGTCGGAGGAATAACAAGAACTAGGAGCCTTAACCATCGTCAGCTTCGAATGCGTCACTGATAGGGAGCCCGCCTAGCCATTTGAACGGCCCTTCTCGTATGTCAATAAGTATCCATTCTACTCTTGACTCCAGAAATACTTTATGTCGCCTCTTCTTGAGTTCTTCTACAGCAGGTGGATCATAGGGCTATCGTCACTCTAGGACATCCCACGCTTGACTTTTTTCGATTGGTTGATTAGGACTGGACTTCTGCATTATTTCCAGGTCAGGAGCGAACTGCCTGCACAGCTGCGAAGATGGCAAATGGGGTGAGAACTGTGCCAACAAGTGCACATGCGCAGAAGGTCACAAGTATGTCTTTTGGGCACATTTTTCAGATCCAATAGTGAAAATCCGAACTCATAGTATTCTGGCCGAAGAAGTTCTGTATCTACAGATAATAATTGCAGGTGTGATCCCATAACGGGAAAGTGCATCTGCGACCATGGATACACCGGAGAAAATTGTGAACAAAGTGAGTGAGCTATTTTACGCAAACTTTTCCTGGCTAGTATTTCCTCTTATTGCTTTTTTCAGAATGCCCTGAAGGGAAATGGGGAGTTGAATGTGCAAATGACTGTCCGGCATGCGTCAATGGTGCCAAATGTAATCATGTAGACGGTACTTGCAGTTGTCCTGCTGGATACGAAGGACGTCTTTGTAACAGATGTGAGTGTTTTTATGGCATCCTTTGAACTCTGTTGCTTACATCAATTAGCTCAGATCATATTCCTGATTAAGATCATTGCTTTGGAGGCTATGTTCCCATTTAAGCATCACTGTATTACTTATGAAGTACCAGATTTAGAGGTACATTTCTCGATCACAATGGCCCCTGGGGTTCTTCCATAGAATGAACATGTGACCCCCCAAAGATGGCACAAAGAACCATGTGGGTCGACAAACGACCTAGTGGGGCGTAATAAGGGCCTAGTTGATGTATGCACACGGAAGCAAAAGAATTCTTACGGCGCTGAAGACGCTGTAGGAGTACTCGATTCACACCGGGACCTCCACGTTGCTCGCAGGCAGTTACTGTAGCCAGCTGTATGAAATGGCACACACATTTGGGCAGCTTGTTCAAATACCCCTTCCATGCACGTTCGTCGTCCCGTTCTCTCAGTTCTCGGGATCTCGGTAAGGATAAAGCGCACGGTGCTCGGATAGCACAATTACGGGTTCTAGTCCCTTCCGAGGCCGAAGTTTTGTTCATGACTCGGCAACTTTACGAGAAATTTCCAAATTTTTTTCCTTGTCCGGTTTTTCAAACTAGATTCCAAAACGAAAACAAAATAATGACTGAGCTCATCTGAAATCTGTTCCAATTGCTTCTTCCTCCTCAGGCTGGACCGATGGTCTCTATTTTTCAGTGTGTGTTGCGGGTTTCTGGGGTTTGGGTTGTGCCCGAAACTGTACCTGTGCGTCGGAATTCAAGCAATGTGATCCTCATACCGGTGAATGTGCTTGTCCTGCTGGTGAGTACCAATAGTCTGACTGTTGTCGACTTCGTTTTTGCCTACACTTGCGGTTCTTTGAAGGTTGGCAAGGGGATCGTTGCAATGTACCATGCGAAGATGGCTTCTATGGTCCGGACTGTATCAACAAATGCAAATGTCGTGGTACCTCGTCAGCGAGTTGTCATCGAGTCACCGGTGCCTGTCAATGCCACCCTGGATTCACTGGGGAATATTGCCACGCTTGTGAGTGACCAGTCATATTTCTTTTTCGATCGGCGATCATGATCATTTGGTCATTTTTTCGGCGACCCGAGTAACTAATTTCAGTATGCCCCAAAGGCTACTATGGTCTAAGATGTTCGCGAGAATGCGGTGACTGTGGAGTAGGCTATGAATGTGATGCAGCCATCGGTTGCTGTCACGCCGATCAGCTGAGCTGTGGACAAGCATGTAAGCTTTAAAGGCCTTCTGATCTTTCCCATCAACTTCAATGTTCCTTTTTCAGTGCTGGAATTCCAACGGCAGCAAGGTGAGCATGAATCGCGTGCTGGTATCATCGTGCTCGCTCTGGTCGTCTTCGGTATAGCATCGGTCCTTCTCGTCTCAATGATGCTTTACTACAGGCGGAAGTACTTCCGTGAAAAGGAACCCGATGTTCCAACCGTTGTNAGAATGCGGTGACTGTGGAGTAGGCTATGAATGTGATGCAGCCATCGGTTGCTGTCATGCCGATCAGCTGAGCTGTGGACAAGCATGTGAGCTTCAAAATATCTTCTGATCTTCCCCACCAACTTCAGTGTTCCTTTTCAGTGTTGGAATTCCAACGGCAGCAAGGTGAGCATGAATCACGTGCTGGTATCATCGTGCTCGCTCTGGTCGTCTTCGGCATCGCATCGGTCCTTCTCGTATCAATGATGCTTTACTACAGGCGGAAGTACTTCCGTGAAAAGGAACCCGATGTTCCAACCGTTGTGTGAGCATACTTGTTATTCATAGAGCTCTCCAAAGTAACATGGCGATCGGTCTTGATCTAGGATTCCAATTTGCTTTTCAGGTTCCATGCCATCGACAATGGCGAGCCAACCGAGTTCAATAATCCTCTGTATTCGAGGCAATCAGTTTTAGTGGATCCAGATAGGGCAGAATTGACCGCCGAGGAGGAAGCTCTCGAACAGAAAAAACTTCGAGGGCCATCTCGCAAGGATCGGACGACGAGTAATACATCCTTAATAATTAACCATATACATATGATTTGAGAAAGCCACGAGCGGGGCTGTAAACTCGTCCAGACTCTTAGCTATGTAGCAATTTAATATTTGTACTTGCAGACGACTACGCCACATTGGATGAAATTGCGGGCGGCAACTCGTCGTCATCGTCACGTGGAGGCCAGTGCACAGTACCTCTTCTGGCTGATTCAGAGCATGGCGAAAGTAGGCAGCCGACCGAGTCATCCAGTTGAACTGAACGCCTATACTGACCCAATTCGCTTCACTCACCTGCATGCCAGCATGTCCATTCCAGGCACGCACTGTATGTCCTTTGTTTTTTAGGTTCACCAACGATTTTTCTCGTTCCCATCTCGAGCCCTTCCCTAACAGATTTCAGGCGTTCCTACTGTTCCTCTTCAGTGATTCAGCACAGTTTCTCTTCGAAGCAATACTACTTATGCAGATTTTTTTTGTTATCAGCGCTTATAATTCTATCATTTCCCGGTAGTTATCATTCCAATTAACTTCGGTGGTTTCGGTTTTTTTCGGTCATCCAGTCAGGTGGATTTGAAGCACTTGATGTAACTTAAGTTTGCTTTGGTTTGGTTGTGGTTGGTTGTGGTGGAGGGTGGTAGAAGCGAATCGCACGTGATTTTGCCCTTGCTTTTGTTCGACTTGATTGCTAGTTGTAACAAAGCGAGTAGCCTAGTGGCTCATAGAGACGGTTTAGTTCCAGGTTTAGTCCCAGTTCCAGGGTTTTTAGGGTTCCAAGGGTACGGCGACAGGGCATTCACGGTTTACGAAATGGTGTGAGCCATAAAACTAATTGTGGCAGCCTGCGGACGTACAATTCAGTGTTTAAGCCTTCCCAGACGAGTCAGGTAACCGACCCCCCAGGGATGAAGAGGCTTGATGACTTTACAGGTATTTATCCGAGATGTCATCCCCGGCCCATTCGTGTGCGATAGTGCCGCTACACCACCTTTGCCCTCGTACTGTAAATGAAACAAAGTTTCCCATTGTGATTTTCACCTCTGGGTCTGCTGGAGGGGACGTTTGTTTGATTCCAATTGTAAGCATCAGTTAGCTAGGCCACTTTGCTAGCGAAGCACAGCACGTTGTTTGAGCCTTTCGTTTATTGAGTTTTGTTGTGTTTTCGAATAGGCTGAGACTACTACTCTTCAACAAGACACGGTAGAAAGCTCTTACTTTGGATGATGGATGGATGGTGAAGAAATGGAATTTATGACTGGAGGAGAATGAAGTCTGTGGACGAGCCTGTCTGTTCTGAAAGGCTGAAAAAGGCTTCCGATTGTTCAAGAAGCGATACCGCCAAGGAAGAGCTGCCTATATCTCTGTGCGTAGAGAAGCAGTGTTGTAGTGTAGTAGCTGTAGTGGCTCAATCAGTTCAAGCTAATATCTGCAGTGGCACTTGTCGGCTGTAGAATTTGCCTATTAGTGCCTCTAATAATGCTTTGCGAGATACGAGCTTTCCGTGGCGACACTTGCTGTATCTCAAAAGGGAAAGCTGTATTTTGGTCTTTTCTTGAGCAGGTTCAGTCTATGAAGAAAATCGGGAGGGATTTTCGGTTTCTGGTTTAACAAGGTGAAGCTCCTGATGACGTTAACAGAGTTTTTAAGTCATTCTAGTAGGCAATACGAACGGTGCACCGCAATCGTCGTGGGCTGACTTCTTAGCATAGAGATCTTTCATTCTCTTTGAAGGTTAGGGATCCATCCGAAGGAGATCCGAAGAGAATACGCTACTTGGTCATAGTTAATGGTTCAAGGGAAAGGGCCATTGTAAGAGAATCGGGAGGATTTTTTTTTGGTTTCGGGGTGGAGTTCATGGGTCCTTAATAGCCTTGTCAAACAAGAAATACGGTAGTGGGGCGTTAATTACCCTCGAAGTTCAACGTATATCGACTTTTTGTGTATTATTTATGTGTGTCTTTACGTTTCCTGATTTCGCTAGATTTATGTTTTCTGCACGATATTTTGGTGGTGGAGGTTGCATGTAGTACGTGTACAGTGTATTCGTACATCGTTGTGGTTCATCGACTGGATGACCGGTTCAATGTGTCAGCGCACCATCACCGATGTTTTTCTTATGATTACATATCCTTGTTATTTTACATACTTGAGCAAACGCACAGCAATATGACGTTGACCTAAACCTTTTCTCAAACCTTTAATTAGTCCTAGAGTTATAAGAAACAAAAACTATTTTAAAGGCACAGTTCACGATAAAAATGGTTTATGAGATTACTCCATTGGATGAATTTGAGGCCCCCGCGTATACCATATCTGGCACTACTAGGTCGAAAAACGGCCTTGTTAGGGAGTTATAAAGGCTCAAATATTGGTCCGTGTGTATCCTCAGACGAGTTTCACCGGCTTTGTAGAAGNGCTTATAATTCTATCATTTCCCAGTACTTATAACTCCAATTAACTTCGGTGGTTTCGGTTTTTTTCGGTCATNGAAGATGCACCGATCACAAGGGAACCCATATAGGAAGTTCTAACAACTTGTCATGACCCATAGCGACAGTAAAAGACATTCTGTACAGTTCTGGCTTGATGTCTTCAGCTCTCTGTGCAATTGCAATAAATGAAATCTCATCCAAAACCCCTTCATATTATTTCCGTTATGACAATCTCGTCCAACTCCTATTTTCTCTACTTTTAAGGAGCCATATTTCTATCGAAATCGGCGAATTCTCTCGCTTTCTTCACTACCGATAAACTATTCCCAATTTATCCTTCCGCTTTTCGAATAAAAACGGGTACCTCAAAATTATCGTGAACTGTGCCTTTAAGATTGCGTGTTTAGTCCGAAGTATTTAGTGATTTTGTGTTATATCGAAGCTGAGATTAGCTAAGAGTAATGAGAGGGGCAATAAGAGTCGGAGCAGACCTACATGCTGTCCATTTATGTGTTTATATCTAGGGGTGGATTGTACGGCAAAAGAGAGACCCGAGAGACTGTGCCTATGAGGACAACAGAGCGGCGAACCACATGTTACTACTAGGGGACTTAATAATTTAGTGGATAGCTTCTGTTTCCTCATCTTTACGCTATAAGCCTTTGAAACCTTAACTAGCGTAACCCCAAGTGACGCGTACCCTATCCCTTCTTTATCAGTTCCTCGAACCAAATGGGAACTGGGACCGGTGCGGGTAATTGTAGTGACCCAGTGCCATTCTTAGAATATCTTTGTATGATTCTATGTGCCTGTGTGTATCTGGTGGTCACTAAACTACGACCATGTAAACTGGAAGGAGCTGGAGGAAGTGGAGTGAGAACCCCCATATCGCCTAAGGTTGACTTCTTAAAGAGGCCGAAAAAGGATTACGGGTCACAAATTTAGCTCTGGATACTTGAATTATTGGTAATCAACTGATTAACGAACTCTGTACCGAGACTTTTTGTGTGATTTGTTCCTAGATAATCATGCTCAGGCAGAGGCTGTCCTTTTAATAGCTCTTTCCAACAAATTAACCGCGAAGATAGAGAAGGTAGAAATGACTAATGATCGAAGGAATAATTTTTCTGGCTGAGTTGTTACTGCGTTTATACTCGCTACTGCACGCTAGGCGGCGCGCAAAGCGTAAAATCAATATCCATTCGAATCTGAGTGCTTCGATGAAAAGGTCTAAGGTGTAGGAACAGGCAATTTTATCTGTATACTTACAATTGTTCTCCCAATGTTTCACTCCTTTTGTCTTGTGTGCCCTTTCAAATGGTCACTGAATATCTTTAGGATGAATTTCAGCTGCGAGCGAGTACGAAGTGTCGAATACCGAGTACAAAGGATTGCCTAGTCCTGAAGCTCGTGCAAGGGAAAATAGGATCAATGCTCAACGTGCAGGAAATCCCTATGTATAACGCGCTAGTTGTTCTAGAACATTCTCCTCATGGCCATTAATCAATCCATAAATGATCACTTTTCAATCATTTCCTTTTATACCAGCCTTATATGCTTTGTTAAAACGGGATTCGTCTTTTGCATATTCCCCTATACCTGGCTTTTATTTTTGTTATTAATTTGTGAGATTTTCGTTTTTTTTTTTCACGGTATACCCCTTTTTTTTGATTGTACGATTAAATATATTTCTAATCTTACACTAGTCGTTCTGTGTCGACGTCGTTTCATACTTGTGAATAGCATACCATAGATCTATCCAACTTAGAGATGAACTTACAAATCGCTCGCTCGTGCCAATCAGGTCCATCAGAGATCCATTGAACCTCCCTGCCCACCTACCGTTTTGTTTGTGTACTAAGAGGTTCACTAGCATTTATTATTAAGAATATGGATGACCATCAGTGATAACTATTTCTCGTTATGATGGCGCTTTCTGTTACAATTGTAGTATTGTCGCCGTCATTCCTGACAAATGTTGGTATGATTTTTATTCTTACAATACGTGTACTGTACAATTTATCAAGAATGAATGTGAGATTATAAAGCTTCATTTTTCATATTCAACATGGACATCTCGAGATAATTCCATCTATACGACAGGCTATTAGTGTAGTCCCACTTGTTAAGGGCACAGTTCACGATAATTTTGAAGTACCCGTTTTTATTCGAAAAGCGGAACTATAGATTGGGAATAGTTCATCGGTAGTGAAGAAAGCGAGTGAATTCGCCGATTTCGAGANAAATATGGCTCCTCAAAAGTAGGGAAAATAGAGGTTGGACGAGATTGCCATGACGGAAATAACATGGAAGGGGTATTCGGACGAGATTTCAGTTATTTCAATTGCACGAAGAGCTGACTACATCGAGCCTGAACTGTGCAGAACTGCCTTTCACTGTCGCTATGGGTTATGACAAGTTGTTTGAACTTCCTATATTGGTTCACTTGTGATCGGTGTGGCCTCTACAATGCCGGTGAAACTCGTCCGAGGATACACATGGGCCAATCTTTGAGCCTTTAGTACTCCCTAACTAGGCCGTTTCCGACCTAATAGTGCCAAATATGGTATACGCGGGGGCCTCAAATACATCCTGTGGGGTAAGTTCAGAAACCATTTTTATCGGGAACTGTGCCTTTGAATCTGTGCACTGTTCAGTTAAATGTTTACTTCAATT